ATGATTAAAGAAACATGTGAACTAACCGAGAATGAAATACGAAAAAATTTTCAAGCTCAATTTGATGTTCACCAAAATGATTTCGATAATGACTTAGAAAATCTTTTTAAATGTATGAATACATCTGAACGTATTAGAGAGAGATGTAGACAATTTTTAAAACGACAAACAACAGAAATTTGTAATGTATGGTGCACAGCAGCGATACAAGCACATGATCAAAAACAAATGGAACGTCTAGTTCGAGATGGTTCTGCTGATCTCCGTCACCTGATTGATGATATCATCAAAAGTGGAAAAACTATGACTAAGGAAAAAGCAAACCAAGAATTCGATAGTATGTGGGACAAGAAGATTCAATCAATTAAAAATAATATCAAACCAGAAGAGAGATTAAAACAAGTTATTAAATTTGTTTATGCAAATTATAATATTTTCGAGAAAGAATCCAGGTATCATGACGTTGGTCAATTTGCATATTTTTCTCACGAGATTAAGCAAAATGAGCTTTTTAATGTAACATATTTTTCCTTACGAGGGAACCTACTCAACTGATAGTTTCCGTTTGATTTCATATGTCGCCCATAAGTGGGACTCACATTGTGGATAAAGATCGTAAAATAGTTCGTGCCAATAGACCTTTCTTCTTGAGTTATGGTCATTTTACTGAAGTTTCACCTTATCATAGGGGATTATGAGAAAAGTCTCAACAAAGACGTAAAAATTTCCCCAATAAGAGAACTCAAGGTTCTTATTATATTCTGAAAGTCTCAACTCAAAAGAATGAATCTTTCTGAAGATATGGGATATCTCAAAAATGGTCTATTTTTAGTGCTTCTGTGGAAAATAGTGATGTTTTTCCAAGGGTAATGATAAGGTGAAAATTCAGTAAAATGACCATAACTCAAGAAGAAAGGCCTATTGACACGAACCATTTTAGGATCTTTATCCACAAATCCACAATGTGGATAAAGAATCCCCCGAATGTTGGAAATTTAGCGTTTTTTTGCTCATCGGTAACGATAAAATGCCTGTTTTCGTTAAAAATTTTCATTCCCGTACACCAAAAAATCGCTCTATCGTTCAAACATCCACCCCTAATGTTTGGACCCTATTTGCGCCTCTGGAGTAGGTTCCCTCATAAGAAAAAAATTTTCAACTGAAATCTTAACCTAGTTTTTAATTAGATCTTTCCATAGAGAACCTTCTCATACTGCTTGTAATTGTTATTTTACTTACAATGGCGACAAAAAATGATTCGTACGATTCTGTTTTAATAATAACTGAACATCACATCGATATTTTGAGACGCAGAAAACGGCAAAAGAACCGCCATGACCTCTAGTATCTATGCTATAAATATCAAAGCGTTGACTTACACGCCGTGAAGATATTTTCACATTGCTATTATTGGATTTCTATCAAACAGGAGCTACAAGCATTTCCCTGAGAGCTCTGAATCGACCAAATGACCTCCAGCCAGCATAGAATCGATCAGGATATGGGTAATCGACCACGCTGAGTCGAACGGGGATGTTTGTTTTCAGATTCAAAGTGATCCGAAGTCTCTAAATCAATTTTCGAAATTGCAAAATTTTGTCATTATGTTGCGGCTATAGTGGACATTTCGAAAATTGATTTAGAAACTTCGGATCACTTTGAATATGTCAGTTTGTTATATATTTTCTTATTTGATTTATAACTTCGAGACTGAAGCGAACTAATAACATTAGATTTCCTCGGGTATAGTCTAAAAAAATCTAACTCGTACCCGACAACTTTGTACCCGTACCCAACTCGTACCCGACGCTTTCGTACCCGTACCCAGCCTTCGGATCGGGTCGGGTACGGGTCGGGTTGCACATCTCTATTATGAACATCATAAAGTATCTGTATGTCGGATTCACCTAAAATACCCAAGATCTTCTCTCTGCTAGATAAGTGATAGGCTCCAGAAACTAGAAGGACTGCTCTATATTGTAATTGCAGTACAGGCTGAAGAATCGTTTTGGTTGAGCATGAATAGATCACATCTGCATATCTCAGTACTGTCAATATAAATGATTTGTATGCTTGATCTAACACCGGGGTGAAAAATGTATATTTAAACTTCATCATCATTCCCAGGATTAAATTACATTTAGAAACAATATTAATTATATGACGTTTCCAGGATAATGATGAAGTAAAATACACACCGAGATGCTTGTGTTCCTCAACACGCTCAAGAGTATAAGTTGCTAGTTGTAGTCTTCCCAGTAATGGCTTTTCAGAAAAAGACATTGAGACACATTTAATAAGGTTTAATGGTAAAAGCCATTGTAGGGACCATTGATATACAGTACCAAAGTCATTAGTTAAGATATTGTTATCTTTTCCTGACTAGTATCACTATAGAGGGCCTAATATACTACCTTGAGGGGTACTATAGTTAATTCGAAGTGGATTTGATTATCCCCACCAACTACTGTTGTGATTTGACGATTAAGTAAGTAATCTTTCAATCATCCAACCAGTTCGGCGCAAACTCCCTTTTTCCTTAATTTATATAGTAAGCCTTTATGGCAGACTTTATCAGAGGCCTTTCTAAAGTCGAGAAAAACAACCTCAATATTTTTATCAGAAGCTCGATCCTCATATATTGAGTGCACAAGCTCTACCAGTTGATGAACATTTGAGTGTTTCTTTCGAAAACCAGACCGAAAAACTGATAGAAGTTTCATACAGTTTCTTATAAACACTTCGGACTGGTACAGCGACATTACCGCGAACGACATTACCACGAACACAAAAAACGACATTACCGCGAAGACATGTTTGTTGGAAAAGCCGAATAAATGAGGCCGGTTTTGTATTTTGTATATCATGTTTTCAAACTTAACTGACGTTATGTGGTGACTAGTCATTATCTGATACAGCCACAGATATCTAGTTTCCCATCACGATAATATGTTTTATGTGAAAATACTTTTCGAACTCACTCTCACAA